GTGAATTACAAGAAATTGAGGACAGTATCCATCAGGAATGAACAGGACACATTCTAGACCGAGGTAGCGAAATCCTTAAACTCAGAAACAGTGTTACGATAGAGCTGTCACTTCACAAGGTCTCACTAGATGAGGGCCATTCCCGCGACGAGGACTATTTTCCAATGAAAAGATGGGAACTCTCCACAGAACACTTCCAGACAAAGGCCGCTTATCCGCGCAACAGGAGCCCTCTGTCTAGCAAAACAGTCCGGGTACATCATGAACAATAAATTTATGTCCACCCCACTGATTTGTCTCATATGTACAAACCATTTTTCTCCCAATCCTATAACTTCACATTACCCGCTATGTGTGTGCTTCATAGCGGGTTATTCCTCCTATTTGTGCTGACTACTCATGAGTAGCATGGCGTACGCCTGTTTAATATAACGCCGCTTTGTCCCCGTACACCAGAATCGGTGAGCTTAAGCGGTTCATTAATGGACCACCGAGAAACGTAAATGAATATCAGGCTATAGTCTAAGATATGGCAATGGCAGGGAATGCACTAGACATTAGACATAGATTTGGAAAATGTGGACATCCTAAGATGGGGTTTACGGTTTCATACACCACGGCGACTGGTGGCCGAGGCGGTGGAAATCGCCAAGCATTTCAGCGGAAATAGAACAGAGGGGGTAGAATTTCCAACAGTGTGGAGAGCTGTTTTAGATCAGCCGAGACGACACGAGGCGGTGTGCAGTTATCAGCTAAATGGTCTGGGTCTAAGTACAAAATCCAAGTAGAGATCCAATTAACCACCCCCACCCTCCGTCCCTAAACTAATTGTTCCGGCACCCTTCGACGAACACAGGTGAACAAAATCTGTGAAGGACCCCAAGAATAATATTCCATTAAGGTGACGTAGACTGAAAAAGCAAGGACGAAAAATCCGGGTTCAATATGAAGGCAACTCCTTCCCCCTAACCAATCTATCGTAAATGTTAGTCATCCCCACTAACCAACAAACAGGAACATCAGACTGAACACCCACCACTGATGAAGTCGGTTAGTCATAAGAAATCTCATGGATCGGTTCCCTGACTGCCTTAAAACCCAATCAACCTACTTACATACTCACTTGGCCTGACGAAGCTTTTGAGTGAATAGCTGCATTACGCCCAGTAAAAAATCCACCGACTGTTTACCAAACCTCTCTGTTTCTTGTATTACGTTTGTATTGCATCATACCCGATAGTTTTTATTGGGATTTGTTTTAAATGGGCCTAAGCGCACAGTCCGATTGGATATGTTGCACATGCTGCTGCGTCGCGCTGTCAGCTAAATGATGCAGGTACACTTAATTTGTGCCAAGTTTACCCAATACCCGTTTTCCAGACAGTTGCCCTTACCTCCCAAACGTACCGACTAGTGAATACGAACTGCGCGTCGTCCGATAATTCCAATCTACACAACTCACGCCTTCAATAGCCACCAACACGCAAATCTTAGGAGCCTTCAGTCGTCGATACCATATGACAGCACCCGTTCCGACAGTATCCGTTTCTCGCATCAAGACCATTGATAGCTCATCAGCTATGCGGGCCAAGTCGCAATGAGAATGCATTTGTAAGATTCACCTATTCAAGCACACAAGCGATTATTTAGCAGTGCAGTGCGTGTGGTATTTATAACCAAGCAACGTAGTTATCTGATGAATTCGAAAACAGTGGGAAGTGTAATGAGGCAAAGAAAAAACAAGTTAAGGCGTAGTCGGAGTTCTGATCATCACTGCAGATCGTAGCCAGTCAAATCAACCCAAATTCAAGGAGGCAATATTGATCAACCGGAACTAACCGGCTGTATGTACTCAAAATGAACAAAAGGTGATTTTGAGGATCTCTTGGTTCCACAGTACCCAGGGAGTAAATACTTCCAGAAAAATTTTCGCATAATCTCCATAACATTTCGTGCGGTTTTATACGCTTCCAATTGTGGGGCGAGAATTGATAGACTCTTGTAAACGATGTGATATATGCAGTCTTCAAAAAGATAAATTGATCAGGGTTACCTTAATTTCATTCCCGATTTCATCCTGCAAGTGAAAATAACCTATGCTAAAGATCGAACAGCACCGTACGGCTGTTTTATCCATACCGAGAAGGAGGAGTTGGCAACTGACGAATACCTAAGGGGATTCAGACGTGAGTTCTTCCGGACAGAAGGATGATCGATTTGCACCTAGATAGGATATGAAGCCGCTCATCCTGATATGAATGAAACGACTGCACATTGCTTCTTCATTCTTCGGGAAAGACTGAGTTCACATGTAGGAAGAAGTCTATAGAAAAACTTTAAAATCCGCTTAATGCCCATAAACCATAAGTAACATGCTTGTAAAGGAAAAGATCCCCCATATCGCACGAGCAATCTACCTGAAAACTCATCAGTAGAAGATCCAGGGAAAACCGGATCACGTGACGTGAACTGTTGCCGTGAAGGTTGAAAGGCGCTACATCCTGTCCAAGAGTTTACCAAACGTGGCCTAGCGGTAAAGGAATGGCTGTAATAATGTTGCAATCTTTTGCCAGCTCGCTGGGAGGAATCAGTAATTGATTGCTAAAAACTGCATTTATCCGATTGTGGCGAAACAGGTAATGGAACTACCACGGAGATAGGACTATTGAAAATGAAAAAAAGGCGAATGGTTAGTTGTAAGAAACCCCCTCTACATACGCTAAGGTCAGCCTAGATAAAGGCCATTTTTGGCGTTTCCCAAGGATAATCTTAACAGTGAAGAATGAATGTATTAAGCACCAAGCGATCACCGCCTTCCCTTCAGTTAAACGCCCAAGACCAAATGAAGATCGATTGAAAGGTTGAACCAGTGTTGGTTGGAGTATTTCGCAAAACATCTCAACAGCAGGGGCACGACAGTCTCATCCCAAAGAATTGTTTGAGACAATATCAGACAAAAATGATTCAGTTCACCCTAACCGGAGTGGGCATAGTTGAAAAAACAGCCATTACTCGCCATCTGGACAATTCGATAAACTTTCCAGAACGACGGAGACTTCCCAAACGACCAGTACTGATTCAGATAGACTCAGCCGCTATGGCTAACGACAGATTCGAGATCGCCAGAGCAGTCAAGAATGGTTTGCATTGACGAACTCTGGGTTAAATACGAGCCACTAAGAGTCACAACTGCGACTGCAGTTCTACCACGACTTTCAACCTTTCTACCGGTCAAGAATTAAGTATAAAAATGTCGTCTTTATTAACCACACAGTCAGCCTCGGCCTTGAAGTAAACTCGCTAATTAGCGAAATGCACTCATTTGAAAACAAATTTGGTTTTTGCAACAGACTTACTTGGAACCCAGCTGAATCTCTCCTTTGTGAGGTTTCCAGGCAACTGAATGTGCTGCACCAGACCGCCTCATGTTTCAGTTGCTACGATATTAGAGATATCGCGATACATGTATATTCGTAATGCATTACCCATAAGGTTGCTGAAATTTTTTCGACAACCCACGACCGGTTTCGGCTTTCTTGGGGCTCATCAGGTAGGCGCAGTCCCCGAGTTTCCGTCAACCTTACGTTCTACTTGAAACCAAATTGCACGAAATTAGCGAAATATACTCATTTGCAAACAAATTTAGTTTTAATGAACATATATGTATCGCGATATCTCGAATGTCGTGGGCTGGCAAAGAATTTTTAGCAACCTTATGAGTAGTGCATTACGAGTAAAAGCACTAACGTTCGGACTGACGATCATAAAGAGGTATCCGGTCAGACAGACTTTCGAGTGGCTGCAAATGCCACTAAATGGGTGGGTCTGACAGTGTATATCCTTAGCTGTCAGCTGGCTGTAGTTGGTTGGCCAGACATCGCACATATTTCGTCTTTTTCTATAGAGTCCATTGGCTTTATGTCGTCTGGTTCATGAGGCCCTCTTCTTAGGTTTTCTTATCCGAGCTGCTGACCTTCGGAATACAGACAAACAACTATAATGTAGTAAGAGACAATTTTAGGAGTTTAAAGGATCGTTGGGAGATCGGTTTCCAAATTTTCAATGTGCTCGGCCGCCGATCTTCGGCTTAGGTGGAACACATTCCAATTTGAATACAGCGAAGTATGATTTAATCCGCCCGCAACACCTGAATAACACTCCATATCTGAAGGCAACTGTATAATCGACAGCGGTTTCATTGGCAGCCTGTCTTGAGAGTGGCTACCGCATCAGCAGCTGTAGATAATCGGGCCTTCGTTTTGTTCACGGAGCATTGTTTAAGAAATCGTAAGGTCAACTTGCCCTCATTTGGAGGAAGCACAATGCAGTAAGAGACACGTCGGACGGTTCCACAAAGAAATACATTCCACCGTAAAAATTGATCTCAAGATAGATTAGGGGTTGTGATATCAATTCTTAGTCGAACTAGCCACGGTCCATTCCACCACCATCAACTTTTCTATAGCTGTAGTCTAGAGTTGGTTAGCATTGCAAATTCCGAACGCTGGTGCACACTTCGTGTCGTTTGGCAGTCATGCGTTCAAAGAATGTCGTAAGTGAATGATTCTTATCTCATTGTAAGAACTACTGCGGAAAAATGATGCCCGATTAAACAAGCGAGCTACGTCCCGCTAAAATGTCATACACTGTAGTGCCTCAGAATCTCCTTCCACCTGATACGAGCGAACGTTGTAGATTTATGGGAAGAGCCAGCCGATGGCTTGGCGTGCCTGGCGGCAACTCAACATACCTTACAATCCGCTCAAGGCATCGCAGATTGCTGCGAAGAGCTCCTTGGTTTTCAAAGGCCCACAAGAAAGTGTTCCCAATCAATATCTGACTGGCACTGAAACGCACTCAGCAAACCGCTGTGCCAAGTGAAGCAATGGTTCAAAACAGAGCTCAAACCAGAGGAAGAAGCGGTGATTTGTATTCATCAGGTTTATGATGAAAGCGGATTGTGAGAAAAGACAAAAAACCAACAGCGTAAAAAATCTCACCAGCTTAGGCAGCGTGATTCGGGCGACTAAGTACTCCGGATTGCCTTCTTCGGGGACGGCAAGCAACTCGTACGGAGGAACATCGCCCACTTGCCTGTGACCGGAAAGAGTGTCATACAGATACTGAGCACTTACTTATCTCGATATACTTGGGGCTCCGTAACTTCCTGGATCAGTCTCTGGTTGACGTTCGACCTAGTTAGATTAAACACAATGTGTTTTTTACCTACCTAGAAGTATCTCCCATCTCTACAATAGCAGGGCGAGGAGCAGCTCGTACATATTGTTCTTGAAGTCTCCCCATTGCACGCTTATTTTTTAGCACAACCCACGCTAATTACACAAGAAATAGTAGACTGTCAACCGCAGAACTTACTCCGTTCTAACTGAAGGTTGTATTTGTTCTCCAACCCTTCGAAAATCACAGTCATCAAAAATGCTTCGAACAACTCCGAAGACTGAACCTTCTTGAGCAAATTCGGGTGAACAATGACATCATATGCAGTGCAACCATTTCCGGCTACAAATGCGACAGAAAAGAGGCAGGAGACGGCGTGGGTGACCATAAATAAGTTGATAAGACCAGTTGAACAGCGTAGTCACCACAGAATCCTAACCAAGCAATTCAAACCCCTTAAAAAGTTTTGAATATCGACTGTGCAGTCATTCAGCACACAAAAAACCGATCGTCCTACTGTTGGTACGAATCCGACCACAAAGTTGTACGAAAACTGAGCAATATGCCAACTCTGATCTATCAAGAAACCCATGTTTAACGTACTACCTGAAAGCGGCCAATCGAACAGCTTAAATGGAGACAAAACAGCAAGACAACGAATAACACACTTATTCTAAGACCGTATTTTGTTCAAACAGTGGCATTTCCGGTAGTACCCATGTTTGTTATCCACTATGAGATTTATTCAAAAGAAATAAAAAAGTGGGTCTTTGGAAATGCAGACAGACACAGCTAATTTCTTCAAAACCAACAAGTTGACTCAAGCTCAATTAAGCCACTAAAAAAGCTAGGGATCTGACCAATCCTTCCGAAAGGGGGCCAACAGTATGAGAAACTTGATCAGCTTAAGGAAACGCGAATACAATTGAGTTTCGCCAAGGTGAAGAGCTACGGGTCCCCAATACATAGGCTTGGAGATCTCGATAGGGAGAAACACTCTAGACGTTGTGAAATATTATGACAATCCAGCGGTTTACATTGGTTAGAAGTAATAATAGAGGTAGCAAAGCACAGTTCTGTCAGTTGCGAGCACGTTAGGAGTGGGTACGGAGAAAAGTGAATCGCTAACAAAAGGTGGAAACGTGGGTCAATGGGCATGGGACATTGGGATAGGCTCACGCAGTTGGAAACCGCACTACTGTTGAACATCCGCATTGTAAAATATAAAGCTAGGTGCTAGTCTTTGGTCGAAGGCCAGAATTAGTGTTTACTATAGATGTATCGCGTCAAATGCGTCCCAAAGAATTAGACAAGTCCAACAAAACAACTTCGGTTCCACCAAACGAACACAAATTAGACAAAGACCAGAGGTATGCTGAAAATCCACCTCTGGGGATGCGTAAGGCTATTCTTAGCTCGAGGTTCGTAAAATATACGAACAACTGGCCAAAAGATTTTTCAAAATCTATACTGGCTATCACGTCCGCACTAGTTGCCCGGCAACAACCTGGCGTTAGGGAGATGTAGCGATAAGTACTGGAAAGACTCGTTTGGAAGTTGAGAATAATAGGTCGTTTCCACGATAAAATTGCGGAATCAAAATGAATCAAAAGGACGTTTCACGGCATTTGGGATCACTGAACGCTCGGGCTGTGATGAATGAACTTTAGTAAAGAGAAGAGAGAGGCACTTCGATAAATATGGCAGCTACGACGGAGCGGAGAGGAAAACAGTCAATGATAGAATGCAGTTTCCTTATCAAAGGAAGAAAAAGTACTCTTCTTGTAAAGTGCAGCTGGAAGTGCGCACCTTGGAAACAGTACAACAACGGGACTTGAAAGTATATGCTAACACAACTGTCTCGCGACTCTCTGTGTTGCTCTGCTTCTTGATCCTTGACGTACAAAGCCACCACAAACCAAAATGTCGCTGGTAACTTTTCATATTCTTTCAAAATGCTATTGGTGTACTTGCGATGTTAACGAAACAATAACAAAAGCGGATGACAACTATTCGAGAAACTGTACGTCCTATAAGACCACCCAAAGAACTACCCGCTTTAGTCATTAATGTTGTGTAGAAAGTTTGCCCTGAAAAGTTACATTTCACAAGTAGGCAGTTTATACATTTTATTTTAAGGCATCATGTTTGCATCGTGTTTTGGGATCCTGACAATCAACGAAGCGCCCTGACGGTCTTTAGTAGCGTTTTTTGCATGACTTTCCTCGTCGGCTTGACGCGATATGCGGTAAACAATGGAAACAGCCAGGAATCAACCACATTACTCTCCACCTGGCATTAAGTTTATTAAGCACAGCTATACAACTTTGATACAACCACTGTAAGGTATGAATACTCAAGTCACGAAGTTAATCATGTTCAATCTGTGAAGACTAAAGAGCTCAGTCGGTCTATAGAAGATCGGAATTGGAAAAGGTGAACCTTGAGGAAGCTTTTGGGATAATTTACAGAGCGCTCGCCAGCGTCCTAACTTAGTGGAACAGGCGGATTACGGGGTGTGACTACTTTGTTGCGGCATAAGCGTTTTCTGCAAGTTGGGTCACTCTGTACTACCTCTCTCAGTGACTAAGGCTCGAACTCACTGACCGAAAGATCCCTGGTTCGAACCCAACATCTATATCTCGACTGCTCCTGTCCAGGTTTAGGCAACCAGGAAGTATCTCAAACCTCGTGCTTCCGTAAATATGAGAAGCCGATGGTACTTTCACACTTATCTGTATCTCCTGACAATAAGATAATGTTTCTACTGAATCCACACTTCTTTATCCATTCAAAATAGCTCGCTCGGAAGTTGAATGCATGATAATGTACACAAGAGTACGGCCCCTTACCGAAACACAATTCCTTCTTAATTTGGAGCCATTGTGGTGAATGAGGTTCGTTGTGATATCACCATGCATAGACCGGCTGATTACTCCCAACAGGCCTCTACGAATCCAAACCTTTGAACACAGTTGCGAAGATGCCACAGCTTTGTGCAAAATCTGTGGAGTGATGGTCTTTGAAGCCGATATAAACTAGGGTAACAGAGATCGGCGGACAAATTCCCAAAAATTCGTCGTTAGCCACCAGACAGGCAACATATAGTGGGATTGTAATGGAAACTAGCACCTTATGTACCAGTATCATTTGTCAATTGACCTACGTTCTAGCAAAATACTGCATCCTATGCGCACATCACACTATCATCGCTTTGGAAAGCTTAAAATAAGGCTGTTCGACTGTACTGGACGCCATAGGTCCAGGAGGAACTACACGATAATATATTCGCGCCAAGAATGATACTTTAGTGAGAAACAGCAAAGAAGAGAATTACCAGCATCCAGCTCGGCATGAGGTTCACCAATACTCATGGGAATCTTGAAAGGGGGTGAATTCTCTACATCCTCAAGAAGAGATCGCAGTTCGTCATCCGTGATATCTCGGGGAACTGGTACCTTTTCTGAATGACATATGTTTACGAAAACCTTCTCTTGTTTGGTCGTTTTCAGTTTGACACAAATCCCTGAAATTAAAAGCTTACTTCAAAAAAGAGTGGATATACCTTCCGATGGGACAATAATGTGAGCTTCAGGCTGCCTGTCGTCAGCTGAACTCTAAGAGAAATGAATCTCAGGAAAATTCGTCACGCACTTGTTGCGAATTGATGATGTTAAAAATATCCATAGGACAGACAAAACTTTCAATGTGTCGTAGTACGTTATATATTGGCCGGATTGAAGTGTACCACCTGAAGAACAATAACAGGTTTCAGAGGTTAAAACCAAGTCCAGACAACAAGTTAACTCAAGAAGCTATTTTTCAGAGATCACCATAATCACCTGCAGCGGCACTAACTTTGAAAACCAATGATTCGTTACCAAGCTTCTTGGAAAAACCCTGGAGTTGAAAGAGGGATAAGTGAGGAAAATAGCGCTGGCCAAGACAACACATACAGCCAACCTGGGCCATTAAGCACTCATAAAACCTGAATTAAAACTGGTATCAAAAACGCTAATGTAATCGGGTTGGAAATGTCATGTATCGTTTTCGGACAGTCACAGGAACGTAACGCGGACCCTAACCTAGAAAGCATGCTCCACCAACAAGACCCATACTTACTATAATCATTCCCATGCTCCACTGCGAAGTCAAGCGTCACTCGACTCTTGGTTAGATGGCCCAACCAGTGCGGCCTGTAACGCTGGACGCATCCCTTGGACAAAGTGAATGCTAGATACTAAATGTCTTCCAGAGAGCTCACTGCTACTTTTACGACATCGATTACCGTTGTCACCACAGCTTCCAGCTATACTCGACCGTAATCACCATGTACCTGTTCCCCTGTCAAGTTTCAGGAAACGGTCCCATTAGTGTGACTACCTCAGCTCTCATTCATATTACCCGTAAGTTGCCTTTATCCGTAACTGCACAATCACTGATTATGCAAAGGCCGAGACAGTTGAGCCAAAAAACAAACTCAAGTCTCGTTCTCAATTTCCAGAGGAGCACGAGAGGTTGAGAAGTCTCGATGTGGAAGCCTCTATTTTGCAGGTTCACACATGCCGAAAAATGAGACTACCCTGACATTCTGTTTAGAGTACTCTGCGCGGGAAAATAATCGTAAAACAACGAAATACGGCCCATAGAATCCAAGCCCATCGGTCTCTCTCCAGACGTGATTTCGGTACTTAGATTTGTGTTCGCTTGAAGTGTACACTCCATGATAGCGTCCAGGACAAAGTTGAACGAAACAGATAGGGACAACCCTGTCGAACTCCACCAGTTGTGAGGTAAGTTTAGACAACCTACTATGCACCTGAATGGGGCCGTGGACATGGAAGAACAGAACAACAAGAATGCAGATGAACCACACGGCATCCCATTCTGGTCAAGGATATAAGTTGTTCAGTAGTAACACCACTGAGCTACCTGGAGCTCAGGAGAATGAGGAACAAATCTACCTAAACAGTTAAAGGCTCCTTTGAATTTGAGGAAGACCACGATTATTGGCGGTAGTATGTGGCGCCGTTCAAGCACTTGATGTAACATAAAGCGGACCGGACCTAAAGCTGTCAACGTATCGTGGTAGTTTGGCTTCAGTGCTGCAATGATTCTGCGGACTGCGCTAGCTGAAACTCAGTTCCACAGGGTTTGACCATGCCAGGAAAGCAAGAGGGGAGCAAAGAAAACGAACAGCTAGTTTCCGTACTACGAGAATTTGTGTTACGAAGCAACTTGGAAGTAGTCGTCTCATGCTTTGAGATAGGAGTGTATAGGAAGCAAGGTATTTATTTCAGTCGACCAACGACTTCATATATATGGAAACAGCGATTCCGCCTCCCCCGAGGAAGGACAGATAAAAAAGATCGACCCTGAAAACAGCACACTACGATCGCCCAAAGGTTAACTGTGGCCTCCGGCATATTATTCAATGCGTCGAAATAATTTTAAAACCAAGGAGTCTGATGCTGTCCAAAATGCACCTATTATGCACAGCTGCATTGGAATTGAGACCGTAACGCCTTGCTGTGTCATCGAGCTAAACCGACCCCCTGCAGCCAAATGGGTCAGACTACTGAGTCTTTGGTCCTTCAAGAAAAAATTGACAACCGCTGCCTCACGAGTCACACTTGTTGGCCAAAGGCTTGGGCAGGGCCCCGAAAAAACACTACACCCTTTCGCTGCCTCATCATCATCATGATCGACAGCATGACATCAGTGTTCAGCACCGATGCTTCACTGCCGTACAACCATGACTTATTTGAAAGCCTTATTGTAAGGAAAAGAATAAGGATGGATGGGAGAGGGACTTAATGCTAGCTTAGCACAATCATTCCGAGGTGCCTACGCCTCCAGATATTCACTCAGGCACAGAAACTGACAACAAGAACGCCACTGACATCGGTTGGCAGCCATATCTTGTAGTCCCAACCAGGCACAGTGAGGATCACGCGGTCCCCATCCTGGAAGGCTGCCTTATGAGTTCGACTTTTGAGTCAAAGGCTCAAGGTGGGGTACCACAACCAAGCCCACTTCTGCGGCTTGGGCAACCGGCAAGTATCACTACCGCACACCCCGTTCCCACCTGTCGAACAATGCAGTGCGATCGATTCATCTTCCAGTCCCCTAGCCATTGTGGTGTCTAAACTGGCTCCCAGAAAAATAAACCACAACGATCACCTAATAACCTAAAAAGGTATGGACCACATTGGAGCCTTCTCCGTGCGCACTCTACTCTAAACCGAGTAACAGGCATCTCTTGCTGAAACCTTTCTACCCCTGTCTGCCAATGTATGTTGTGTCTCCGAGACGCAAACAAGACCCCACTTCGGTCATGCGCCTCAAGCTCCTTAGGACGAGCGCAAATACTCCAATTTCACTCTTCGGATATCTGGTGATCATGATGGAATGACTCGTACATACAGTGTTAGATTTGCACTCGACTCAAAGGCTGAAAGAGCCTTACTGGACTGGATCCCGGTAAACAGTCGCCTTTGCGCTGTACGGTTGTTTGACTCAAGTAACATTAATGCAGATCGATGGGTGAGGCTAGTAAAAGCCCTCCTCTGAAGATCCAACCTTCTCTCTGCGACAGGAGTGGTTGGGCTAGCATCATAGCTGTGGATTTGTGCACCCGTTCTCAAGTCGTGTATAGTCGTTAATCGTAACCGTCCAGCTACATAACAATGAGGTAAACGGTGTCTACCAGCATACATCGCGACAGACTACAGTTCTAAAATTGAGTATGGGTTTTATCGAGATCTGTCACGACTGCTTCGGTCGAATGGGAGCGAACTAAAGAAGCTATGCACTCAGCTTTCATAAATGTTTTTGTAGTAACGGGTGACTTGGATGCTTCAGCACAAATCAGGTAACATTTTAAGACCTGCCCGATCTGGGGGTCCGTCAAAAGCCAGTGAACGTAACTCGGAGCAAGGGTCTTCATCGTTTTTTTCAGGCGCCCTCTATGAAACTGTTTCAGGATGTCTAATTGCAACTTCCTTGGGATGACAAGTTCTGAAAACAAAAGACATTCATCAGCTACTGATAATGCGTCGTGCGGGTTGAAGTGATGTCTCAAGTTGTCTTTTCTGCAGGTATGCGGGCGTTGATTGTGGTGATACTTAGTGACTTGCTGCAGCACACTGACTTGGTCGATGGCCTGGCGAACCATGCAGGCAGTCACATGGAGAACGCTACGAATACTACGCGGTTGACCTCCGGTTCCAAGGCGATTGTTGCGACTACAGTATCTTCTAGTTATGACTTACTTGAATCACTGAGTCGCGACAGTGAGTCGGCTTGTCCGACGCTGGTGGTGGACTGGTACTTGATCCTAAAGTCATATCCCAGAAGCACAGTGGCCCATCGCTGAAGGCGGTTGGCAGCAAATACCGGAGTTCCCCTCTTCGAGCAAAACACAGCAAGGAGTGGCTTGTGATCGGTCATTAGAGTGAACTGACGGTCGTAAAGCATTTATGAAACTTTTGATGGCAAACAATCGTGAAGGCTTAATTTTCTATCTGACTGTAGTTGCAGTCAGACGATGCCATGGATCTGGCCACATTCGCAATGGCTTTTGGCCACATGTGAAATCACTGCGTCCATTCCATAGTTCAATGCATCCGACGCCACAAAGATTTCCAGAGATGGATCGTAGTGGATGAGTAGCGAATCGGAACTGAGCATGGATGTGACAGAGTCAAATGCGCGTTAGCATTCCGCTGGCCATTTTCACTTGTGGTCTTTGGTAAAAAGCTTGTTTGGTGGGCCTCGGAGGCGATGCATGGCAGGCAGAAACGAAAAGTGGTGACTGACGAAAGCGAGGAAAGATCTGAGGGAGGTCTGTGGGTTCTGGCATACATTTAATAGCGTCGATGTTCTACGGGTATGTTCGGCAGCCATGTTGGTCAGTGGTGAAACAGAGGTACTTTATCGATCGCATGAAAAAGGTGCATTTCTCTCGGCGCACTCTGAAGCCATATTCTTCAATATGACTAAGCACCTAATCGTACCTATGATCTGTTGAAATGTGGCTGATGATGTTTTGACACCGAATGGCAGTCGAGCACACTGGAACAGACCGCGGTGCGTACTGGTCGTCAGAATTTCTCGGGATTCCTCCTCAACTTTAACCTGGAGGTAAGCATCGGCCAAGTCATCTTCGCGAAACATTTACCCCCATTCAGTTTCACGAACAAATCGCCTGGAAGAGGCAGAGAGTATTGATGGGTATCCAGTGCAGCAATGAGACCGGTGAGGAATTCTGCACACAACCGGATGGTCCCGTCAGCCTTACCCACCAACACGATCGGTGCGGTCCATGCAAAGTAGTTGATCGGTTGGAGAATACCAGCCATCTGTAGTCAGTCCAGTTCCTGGTCGATGATAGGTAAGGCCGCATATGATACTGGGTGTTTTGGCCCAAAAACTGGTTTGGCACCGGAGAAGAGGCACAGTCTGGCTCTTGATTTTGTGAACCGTCCAAGCTCGTCGGAGAATAGTGATTAATAGCGTTGTAGGAGGTCCTCAATTTGGTTCGAGGGCACCCCCGTGTGCTGCGTCTGTGAGGTTGTAGTATAATTGACTGCTCCAGCAGGTTCAGCTTTTCGATCTAATCCAGAGTCCAGTTCTGGTCGATGATAGGTAAGGCCGCATATGATACTGGGTGTTTTGGCCCAAAA